GAGCCCTCACCTCCAACACCACCCACGGAGCCCTCACCTCCAACACCAGACACGGAGCCCTCACCTCCAACACCAGACACGGAGCCCTCACCTCCAACACCAGACACAGAGCCCTCACCTCCAACACCAGACACGGAGCCCTCACCTCCAACACCAGACACGGAGCCCTCACCTCCAACACCAGCCACGGAGCCCTCACCTCCAACACCAGACACGGAGCCCTCACCTCCTACAAAACCACAGGACCCTCACCTCCTACATCTGCCACAGGACCCTCACCTCCAACACCACCACAGGACCCTCACCTCCTACACAACCACAGGACCCTCACCGCCTACACAACCACAGGACCCTCACCGCCTACACAACCACAGGACCCTCACCGCCTACACAACCACAGGACCCTCACCGCCTACACAACCACAGGATTCTTACCTCCTACACCAGCCATGGGACCCACACCTCCAACACCAGCCACAGAGCCCTCACCTCCAACAGCAGCCACAGGACCCTCACCTCCAACACCACCACAGGATCCTTACCTCCTACACCAGACACAGAGCCCTCACCTCCAACACCAGCCACGGGACCCTCACCTCTTACACAACCACAGGACCCTCACCTTCACACCAACCACAAGGTTTCTGGGTCCCTGAGACCCTCAAGCTCAATGAGGAATAGAAGCCCACTGCCTGCGAAACCGGCCACACAGAGCTCTACTTTTGTGTGGCGCAGCCTCAAAGCTAGCCCAGGGAGGAGCACCAGGGCACAGTCCAGCTGTGGAGCCCGTACTCCCTCCCTGGGCAGACAGGGATACCACACAAGCACACAATGCTACTAGGCAGGCCAAGCCTCCGTGACCACAGGCCTCATCCTTTCTACAGAAAGTATGAACTTCGTGAGGCTGGCCAGTCACACTGTCTGACCCAAGGCCCACACCTAAGTCACGCCGTCCTGTGCAGTGACCCCTGCCCCTGCACACCCAGCAGGGCACTGCAAGGGCTTTGTGGTCACCTCCAGGGGTCAGGTGCCTGCTAGACCCTTGAGCCGCCACACAACCATGCAGACACAAGCACAACCATGTAGATGCCCTTTAAATGTACTTAAAAGGGATGATTAAAGATAAAAAAGAAATGAAAATAATGAAAAGCAAATTAGCCTAACTTGTTTCAAAGTGTTAGGGCCTGAAGCTTGCCCGGCAGGTGCTCTGCGTCCCAGGGCCTCTCTTGCTTTTTCAGGTAGTCCCGAGATTGCTCAGGGCCAAACCCCTACAGCTGGGACCGTCAGCACACACACCGCAACACTCAGCTTGCCAACGACTGAGAGGGGTGCTGCTAACTTCTGCCAGGGCTGGCCTTGAAAATCAGACTTATAGGAGTCAACAATGCTTGATAAGAAATGTACTCATTTTCTCGCCCATTATAACCCCTCTGTACAGTATTTTCACAATAAAAAAAGAAAAAAAATCTGATAAATGTACTCTTCCAATGAGTAAATTTTATGACATGTAAACTACACCTAAATGAAGCTATTAAAATAGTAACATCAAAAAAAAAAAATAAGAAAGTCAGACTTATTTTGCAAAGACTGCTAAAAGCCCTTCTGAATAGGAAATAACACTGGATAGAGCACACACACTGAAGCCAGACAACTGCCAAGCGCACAGAGAGTGCTGGCTCTCTGCTGCCACAGTAAAATGTATGTGAAGGAAATGGAGGCTTGGCCTAGGTGGTAGAGCACCAGCCAGTGAGTGAAAGCCATCAGATACCGAGGTCTGAGTCCTGGTCTCAAACCAAAACGAAGTGTGTGTGTAGGTGAGGGGAGGCCTAAACACCTCAAGTCCAAGGTGAAGGTGCAGCATGGACTGTTGGTCAGGTCAGCCGCCTTCTGGTTTGTGGGTGGCCAGCTTGCTATGGTATCCCAAAGGGGGAGAGACTCCTTCCCCTCCCCCATTGTAAGGACATCAGTCCTGCTGGATCTGCCCCCCACCTCGTGACCACATACCTTCATTACCTCCCAAGGGATCTCTCCAGGTACATCATACAGGGGAACAGACTCAGTGTGAAACTGGGGACACAACTCAGTCCATGCAGCAAGTCAACCAGAAGAGGGCAGCAGCACAGAGCGAAAAGGTGGAGGGGCATGGCACAGGAGAGCAGGACTAGGCCAGCCACGCCCATGAGGGCCTGGAGGAGCTTCATAGCCACTCTCCAACCCCAAAGAGAACCTGCCACAGAGCAGAACAGAAGCCCGTCAGAACAGAAATGAAGACCCAGGCCTACATGTGCATCACTTTCCAAGAAAAAACAAATCTGAAACTACCACTAAAAAGACAGAACTCAGAAAGCCAACAGGAGCAGATGCCAAAGGGCAGTGGGCCTAGGAACCCAGAGCAGACGGGGCAGCGAGCACCCTTCACCTGCCCTCCAAAGGAAGTGAGACACAGGAAGCGCTGGGAGTGGAGAAGGAGGTGACGCTGTGGAGATGAAGCATAAGCATTCTGTGCAGGACAACAGCCTTAAGAAACCAGGCAGATCAACAGCAAGCACAGAGACCAGAACAACTGACACGTGAAAAGAAAACTCAGTAGAATAGAACATGCAACAAAATAGTCAACAAATATTTACTGAATGGCTACTGTGGTCAGATGCAGAGCTAAGAGACCCAGTGATTTAACATTCCAAGGCAAAATCAAAGTCTCAGACAAGAGACAGAAGACCATGACTAACAAAAAAATCACATGCTGGTACCCTTGGCTCACACTGTAACCCTGCCCTGTGGCAGGGAGGCAGAGATCCAGAGGACCGTAAGATGAAGCCCACCTAGGCCGAAAAGCCTAAGATCTCAGCTCCAAATATAAACCACAAAAAACTAGGCTGGAAGTATCCCTGGGGTGATAATGTTTATGAAGTTTCCCTCTAAAAGTTGGGCCTCTTAGGGTCTTTGACATCGATTGCAGAGCAAGAATTTCTGGACAAGTCATAATGGTACGAAAACGTGGCAGAGCTTTATTGACTGAGTAAGCAAGTAGGCAAGCAGACAGACAGGCAAGCAGAAGGGCAGAGGCCCACTCTAACACAGTGTGGGTGGTCTCAAAGGGAGAGACACAGAACTCTTTGACATCAGGGGCACTTCTATGGTAAAGGCAGGGTCTGACTTAAAGTTATGCAGAGAAGTGTTTACCTTTACTACTTGGGCTCAGGGTTTCTGAGACTAACCTGTACTTTATATATAGGACCACCATGTTTGGGCATCCCTTCTAGGAAAGAATACATTCTGCCATGTATTTTAAGTCTGGTATTTATCCTCGAGATCAAGATCCTGCCACAGATGTTTATCCTTTGGTAATCTGCACTCTGTGCTGGGAGAAGCCATTTTTCCAAGTATTTGCTTCTCCTGAACACATGTTGTTTTTACCAGGTCCTTTCTCAGTTTTCTGAGCACATGTGTTCTTGGGGCCAGCAGACAAGGTCAGATGGATAAAGCTGCTCTTGCTTTTTTTTCTCCTTATGCTAATACTGCATCTTATGAAGTAGCACAGGGTTAAAACAAAGACGACGGGGCTCCTGTATTTCTAAGTACAGTGTTTCTGCCTTATTTTCACTAGTCTGCCCTGCCTCATTTTCTCCTAAAAACAACTTTGGTCCCTCAATCTTAAGCAAGTAGATGAGTGTGGATCATTCTCCTGTATTTGCTTTACTCTGTTTTTGCATTCCTGCCTTTCCCTAATCTATCCTGCCTCAGAAGTGTTCTCTGAGTGGGGAGTGCCAACCCAGCCATTAAACCCTGAGTTCAAAACAAAAACCCCAACAGCAAAGACCACACTGTCCAAGGACTCTCTACCCTGTGCTAGCTCAGCAGGAGCTCACAGCTGGCTGAGAGCATCCACCTGCAGCATGCCCCGGACACGCCACAACTGCCAGAGCTTCCCTTCCCGGCTCTTCCGCTCCACCAAGTGCCCACAGCCGCTGACAGCCCAGCCCTGGGCAGCCAGGGGTCCAACCCTGAGGAACAGGTCAGCACCAAGCACTGGACAGCGGCAGAAGAGCATCTGTCCAGCCATCCCTTCCCCATGCACAATACCTAGGGCTTCCAGCCAGAACCACACAGGCAGCACCAACAGCTACCAGTGAGACAGTCACACACCCTCAGTAAGGACAGGCCTGGAGAACTGCTCTTCCAGTGTGTGAACCTGAAGTCCAGGCCCATGCGCACTTACACGTGATCCAGATTCCAGGTGCTGAAGAGGACTCGACTCTCCCTGCTGCCATAGGGGTTGATGGAGTGCTTGGAGGTGCAGCCATCCAGGTCGAAAGGGCCCTGAAAGGACAGAGGTCAGGAAGGACACTCGAGGCCCTCACTGCTCACTGCCACCCACAGACAGGCTCACTGGGTGGCAGGTCCCACGGGGGTAGTCCCTTGAGCCATGTATGGTGGGCGCACCTGTAATCCCAGCAGGGAGGAGGAGAGTCAGGAGGAGCAGAGCTCCAAGCAGCCAGACTGGGCTATTCAAAACAAAATAGTCAGATGCTGTTTGAGAGATTACATATTTTTCTGTCTCTGGAATTGCTCCCCTTTCCCCATTCACTGCCCTGGCTTTGTATTCCCCCATCCAGGGGACAGGCAGGCTGCTGTCACTATCCCAGAGATCGGACTAGCCTCCCCTACTGTGTCCTTACTGGGGAAACCCACCGGCCTCCTACCTGCTCCTGTCAGTGCTCCCGAGACCACACCACCAGCCTCCTATCTGCTCCTGTCAGTGCTCCCGAGACCACACCACCAGCCTCCTATCTGCTCCTGTCAGTGCTCCCACGGCCCTGTGACCACACCACCGGCCTCCTACCTGCTCCTGTCAGTGCTCCCGAGACCACACCACCAGCCTCCTATCTGCTCCTGTCAGTGCTCCCGAGACCACACCACCAGCCTCCTATCTGCTCCTGTCAGTGCTCCCGAGACCCTATGACCACACCACCGGCCTCCTACCTGCTCCTGTCAGTGCTCCCGAGACCACACCACCAGCCTCCTATCTGCTCCTGTCAGTGCTCCCACGGCCCTGTGACCACACCACCAGCCTCCTATCTGCTCCTGTCAGTGCTCCCGAGACCACACCACCGGCCTCCTACCTGCTCCTGTCAGTGCTCCCGAGACCACACCACCAGCCTCCTATCTGCTCCTGTTAGTGCTCCCGAGACCACACCACCAGCCTCCTATCTGCTCCTGTCAGTGCTCCCACGGCCCTGTGACCATACCACCAGCCTCCTATCTGCTCCCGTCAGTGCTCCCACGGCCCTGTGACCACACCACCGGCCTCCTACCTGCTCCTGTCAGTGCTCCCGAGACCACACCACCGGCCTCCTACCTGCTCCTGTCAGTGCTCCCTCAACCCTATGACCACACCACCGGCCTCCTACCTGCTCCTGTCAGTGCTCCCAAGACCATACCACCGGCCTCCCACCTGCTCCTGTCAGTGCTCCCGAGACCACACCACCGGCCTCCTACCTGCTCCTGTCAGTGCTCCCGAGACCACACCACCGGCCTCCTACCTGCTCCTGTCAGTGCTCCCGAGACCACACCGGCCTCCTACCACCAGCCTCCCACCTGCTCCTGTCAGTGCTCCCGAGACCACACCACCAGCCTCCTACCTGCTCCTGTCAGTGCTCCCGAGACCACACCACCGGCCTCCTATCTGCTCCTGTCAGTGCTCCCACGGCCCTGTGACCACACCACCGGCCTCACCTCTGTGCCCACTTTGAATGTGAGACCCAAACCTTCTTCTAGGCCAATATCTGAATATCCTCCCAGCCACACCCCAGGAGGGCAGTGCTCATCCACCTGGGTGACCCCAGGATAAAGGGTCCTCGGCTCACCTGGCAGGAGAACCAGCCTTCTGGTGTGCAGAGTCGGACTCCAGCCGGGGCTTTGCGGTCGAAGTAGCTGCCATGGTACCGCAGATCTTTAAGCTTCTGGCCCATGGCATCCAGGATCCGCCTGTATTCCTCTTGTGCTTCTCCACCCAGCACCGAGGCGTAAGCACTCACCTGGAGGGGCCAAGGGCACTGCTGAGCCTGGGAAATGCCCCGAAGCCTACGACTGCCTCCTATTCAAGGCCCTCAGGGACTCTGTCCCTCTAGCTAGAGATCCAGACTCTGCCTAAGTAGTCAGGTGGTCTAAAGGTCTGGCACAGTTCACCTATACCATCCTGAGAAACCTCTAGGGCCCCTGCGTCATAACGCTGCACATTAGGCTGGAAAGGATTAAAGAGATCAAGGAGAGCATGGAGGTGCATGCCTGTAATCCCAGCACTAGAGAGGCAGAGGCAGGAGGATCAAGAGTTCAAGGCTGGCCTAGCGTACATAGCAAGTCTCTCTCTCAAAAGAAAAGATTGATATTACACAATCAGTGGTCACAGCTGCTTCCCCATGGTCAGGCAAGCAGGGGTGAGGGGAGGAGCCCATGTTCCCGAGGGAGAGTGCTGGCACCGGTCAGTAACCCACAGTCAGCTAGCTAACCCAGGACACAAGCAGGCCTTGTGCCTACAGTCAGCTAGGCTAGGAAAACACTGGGACACAGGCAGTCCAGGTGCCTACAGATAGCTAGGTTAGGAAACACTGGGACACAGGCAGTCCATGTGCCCAGAGTCAGCTAGGTTAGGAAAACACGGGACAGAGGCAGCCACAGAACCTCTTGATGGAGAAACACAGGAGACAGCAGAACATTCACAGTTGTGCCACACTTTTGAATGTCATGAACCTAGCCATGTGTGGAGGGCTGTAGGGACAGGACAGCCACAGCCACGAGGTGGTGTGAGGACAGAACAGCCCCCGCCCCCATATGTGTGGAGGGGTGTGTGGGGACAGGGCAGGCCCCTCTGGGGAGACATCTCTGCAGCCACTCACAGCTAATGCAGGAGGAAGCCCAGAGGCGGCCAGCAGTGAAAAGCAGAACTGCTCTACCTCTGCAGAGGGAGAAGGTCTGAGAGCAAAGACTAGCCATGAGAGGAAGGGCCGCGGCTCCAGCTGCCTGGCCCTCTGGCTCACAGGTGACTCGTCACAGCAAGCATGTCCAGTCTCCCCTGACACTTGCCACCAGAAAGAAACCCGGAAGGCCAGGACCACAGTGCCAGTCTCCTGCACAGGTGAGGACACTGAGCAGGTACTTCCCCTCCCCAGCAGAGCGACGGGCAGGTGGGCAGACACAGGACATCAGCACAGGATCAACACAAGTTGTGAACCAGATCTGAAGAACACCTCAGTGAGACATAGCTGAGAGCCCAGGAGGCCCTGGGGAGGCAGCAATGCTGCAGGCCAAGCAGCCAGGCAGGGCTCTGCACCCAGGAACCTCTGCACAGCGCAGCACAGCAAGTCTTGCTTCCACAGGAACTAACGTTTTGCCCAAGCTTCAAAGCAGGGGTGTAAGACAAGGAACAGGACAGCCTCCGAATCTCTTCCAACCACACCACAAGGATGACACATCAATGAAAGGCAGAGGGACGGAGCCCACCAGCTCTGTCAATGCCTGGGCTCCAGCTGGCAGATGTGCCTACGGGGACAGGAAGCCCCGCCGATACAAGCTGCTGCCCCAGAGCCACCTCTGTCCTGCCTAGGGGATCAGAGGAGGCCGAACGGAGATAGGTGCAGTGGGTGCAAGGCCTCACGGCCAGGACCTCCCTGGTGACAGACACCTCATCCTCAGACACAGGCCTGCCTCTCCCACCACGGAGACCCACCTTCCACTCTGCACTTGTAGGAAGCTCAGGCATCACGCATGGAGCGTGACAGAGGTCGTCAGGGCAGCAGGCCTTGATGGTGAAGAACAGCTGTGCTGGGGTTTCCACTCTGCCCCACACGAGCCTGCTGGTGACTCGCTACTCAAGAGCCAGTGCTCAGGGCCAAGAGGAATCTCCACAAAGCACCAGCAGCAAAGCAGCCCTCAGCCCTGGGCCCCTCTGAGGACCACATTGTGCCCCACAGATAAAAATGAGCAAAAGCTGAGGAAGAGGCCACAGTCCACCTGTGAAGGCATCAGTCAGAGAGAATGGATGAGAAAGAGAATGAGGAGCCTCTGTACTTGGGGTTGGCTCACATCACAACGGGCTGCCAGTCTGCAGACAAAAACATTCACAGGCTGGGGCACCTCTGTAACGGATGAAATGTGCAGGCCAGGGCTCACAGCCAGTCAGGACGCAGCCTGGATTCTGGTGCTGCTGAGCCAGCGGTCAGAGGCCGTCTCTCAGTGTCCTCTCTAGGCAGGCGGCCCTCTGCAGGCTTCGGTCAGCGGCCACACAGGCACACAGCAGTAGAGGGGTGGCAGCTCACCAAATGCCACCCATCCTGGGCCCAGAACCCACGCAGAAGACCTGGCCACCGTATGAGCTTACCTCTCTCAGGTAGCCCCGGATCCGGCTCTCACAGCTGTGCCTCAGGTAGCCACACTTATTCCTGAATCGGGATTCCAAGCCTACAAGGGAGGAAGATGCCCTGAGCCCACGGGGCAGCCTGGGTGGGGATGGGGCAGGACATGGGGGTCAGACTACTGCATCTAGAGGAACACCTGAAAGCGGCATGCAGGGTCTGTGTGGGTTTTGCTTTGGAGCACCTCAAATGCTCCTGGCTTCTCCCCCAGCCTTCGTTTCCCAGGAGGGCTACAGCCTCCCAGGTCCTCACCAACTCTCAGAGGCTAAGTGACAAAGTGTGCTCTGTGCAGGCAGTGAAGCAGGCCCCCCACAAGGAAGAACATCCTGACAGGACATGGCCGAACCTGAGGACAGCTTGCTGCATGACAAGCCATCACCAAGGGACAAAAACTGCATGACTCCACTCGTAAGGGAAATAAGGGGCGGGAGCCAGACAGCGACGGCTCCCACCCATGAGCCTGGCTGCTCGGGAGGTTGGGATCTGAATCCATGTTCAAAGTCAGTCCAGGCAGACAAATCCAGGAACCTCTTATTTCTAACAGACTCAGTGGCCCTGGGCTATGTACCTATATACCTACAAACTCAGTGCAAACTCAGTCCCCCAAGGAGATTCTGCTAACCAGACTGTACATCTACTATATAGGTACATTTTTTTTGTCACTTTCTGAAAGTCGCATAACAACTACTTATATAGCAACCATAGTTCATCTGGATCATTAACAATACAGAGACACATGAGGTCGCCTGAGCACCACCACAGTCTATACGGGACTCACCTAAACCTGTGGACTTTGGTATTCTGAGGGGGCCTGGACCAATTCTATACAGATACCGAGACAATGTTCTTAGAAATGGCTAAGGTGGTTGGACAGAGTGGATCATGGCAGTAATCCCATCTACTCCAAAGACAGAGCATGGGAGGATCCAGGTTTGAAGCCAGCCTAGGCAAAAAGTTAGCAAGACCCCATCTCAATAAGCCACACGTGGCAGTAAACCTCTGCAAGACCAGCTTCAGGAGACACTAAGTAGGCAGTCTGCAGTACAAGGCTCACCTGGCTGAAAACTAAGACCTTACCTACAAAATAACTAAAGCAAGGGTGGCCTGGCAGTAGTGTTCCCACATGACTCAAGTGGTAGAGCACCTGGCTAGCAAGTGGGAGGCCCCGAGTTCAAACCCCACTACTGTTGTAAAGAAATTCAGTCATGAGAGACAGAGAAGGCACTTCTTCAGAGGTCAAATTATGACTCTTTATTGGAGAGCTGGGGACTGCAGGTAGATTCCTGTCTCAAAGTCCAGCAGCCCCAAATACAGCTAGCACAAAGCTTATATAAGCCGAAACAACATAAGGTGTATGCAATTAAACCTAAAAAAAAGTGTTATAAATAAGCAAAGCAAACCAGATGAGGATACTTAAACCTAGTAGAAAAGCAAACCATCTAGGGAAACCATCGGGAGAAATCAAGGGCCAATTATTAGGGGAAGCATAGACTCAGTCTCCTTCACCACCACCAGAAAAGATTAAAATGTGAATTTGGTGTTACCTACATTACCACTGCTTTTTAAACAATAATGAAAATACCAAGGCCAGCCAGAGGCACCAGGCGTCCCCCACCCTCAAGTCCTTTCTGGCTCAGGCCCTGTGGCCCAGGCTGTCAGTGAGCACCTGTCCTGACCTCCAGCCAGCCCAGCTGAGAAGCGGAGGGGACCTGATGCGGATGCCGTTTCTCCAGGGCCACCGCTGAGGTAGGCCCCCCCCCGCCCACTCCCACCACACACCTTCAAACCAGGGGGGGTCCTGTTCGCGGGTCTCGGCGGCAATGTTCTGGCTGGCATTGTGCAGCAGGTCAGCTAGGAGCTTCTGCCGCAGAGGAGCCTGCTCATCAGCCAGCAGCTGCCGGGCTGCCTGGATGACTGCTGAGTGTGGCTCCTGAAAGACGCTGAGGAAGCGGCTGAGGTCACTCACATCTGCCACCAGCAGGAAACAAACAGAACCTTGGTCAGGAACAAAGGTCCCCCACCCAGCCCGCAGGACTGCAAGACTCAGACACTCCACGCCACCAGCCCTCTTCCTGGCTTGCCACCTCCAGCCATGTGACCCCAAGTCTGCTGCTGTGGCCTCCTCCAGTCAGGGAAGATGCCCTAGAGAAGGCACACCTGCCCCACCCTCGGCTTTGTCCACCCCCCTTGAGGCCTCCCACTCCTCTTCCCCCTCTCCTGGGAGCCACTCCACACCTCCAACAGTAGTGCAACCTCCCAAGCACTCAATATCCAGTGAAACCAGGTTCCTAAGGACCTCAAAAGCAGTAGCAAAAAAACCCTAGAAGGCTATAATGGGGCGATGTCAGGGGGCTCAGGTGGGAGAGCCTCACCTGCCTGCAGCGCTGGTTCCATGAATGGCACCGAGCAATCCACACGCTGCAAGGCTGTCCACTTCCTGGTACTGACGCTGAACTACAATTATGTCAGGTGATAACTTGTGCGTTCCAGCTATCTTGGCAACATCCCACAAACCTATCACCATTTTTAAATCTTCAGAAAACAAATATACTGGGCTAGGAATATTGCTCAGTGGTAGAGTGCTTGCCTAGCATGCATGAAGCCCTGGGTTTGATTCCTCAGCACCACATAAGCAGAAAAAGCAGGAAGTGGCGCTGTGGCACAGAGAAGCTCAAGGACACAGCCCAGGCCCTGAGTTCAAGGCCCAGGACTGGAGAGAGAGAGAGAGAGAGAGAGAGAGAGAGAGAGAGAGAGACAGAGGCACCAGGAAAGGATTAGTGGCCTCAGGGAGGGAGGATGATAGAAGACAGAGGCAGCAATGGAGATGGAGAGAGCAGCTGGTCCTGCTCTGTCCAAACACCACCTCGCGCGAGGAAAGGAAACATGCATCCTGTCGGCATTTTGGTCCAGACCCACCTCCACAGGGTCAGCCCAGGTGCCTTGTGGTGACTTGCTTCTCAGAGGCCCACCAAGAGCAGGGGCTTGTCACCCACTCAGGAGGCACACCAGCCCATGTCCCTTCCGACAGCGGAGCCTCAGCCTGTGGCTGTGAGAACTCCACCCGTCAGCTCCCCCTCTGCCCTTCATCAGATGACTTCCCCATCTCTGAGCTCCCAGTCCTTCCTGCGGCCCAGATCCACCTCCTGCAACAACGCCCCCTTTGCACAAGAGCCCAATGCCCTCCCAGAGAAGGGCACAGGAGGTGCAGAACTTGCTGTCCAGCTGCTTCTGAACGATTTCTCATCGGGCCTCCAGACAGAGGCCCTTAAAGAACCACCTGCCAAAGCCAGCACCCAGGATGACAGCCACCTGCGTTAGCCTGGGGACATGTCTGCGCAAACACGCGTGGAGAGCCTGTTCTGACCAAGGCAGCCCCGCCGCCCCCTCTGTCCTTGTCAGTAACATGACCGGGGCTTCCTCTCAGCCTCCGCCGGGCTGCGGCTCCAGCCCGCGGGCCTCCACACCGCGGCCTCCTCGCCAAAGGCTCTTCACTTACAGCCCTGCCAGGTCTGGCCGGCGGTGAGCAGCAGGAGCTCGGCGTCGTCGGGGATGCCGGGGAAGTAGTCTTCGGTCACCTCCGTGCCGTCCTCGTACAGGCACAGGCGGGAGCCGGGCACCGGGACCTGGGGAGG